TTCCCAATGAGAAATGTAATTGTGTTGTATACCTACAATGTACCAATAAATGAATTTAATACAAAAAAAAAAAGAATAGACATAAAAAATTGTCTGGATTCACATATAGGATATTTGTATATGTAGAAAGCTCTACAGAATTTTTTAAAAACTACTAAAACTAATGTCATTTTCTCAATCATGTAGGATGTGAGATCAATATATAAAATTAATTTTTCATACAATTGCAATTTAACATTTAGAAATTGGAATATTAAAAATATCATTCACAACTGCTTCCAAAAGCATGATAAATTCAATGAAATATGAATAAGATCAGTTCTCTGATAACTACAAAACACCACTAAAAGTAACTGAAAAAGGACTAAATAGATGGGGAAACATACTATATTTAAGTATCAAAAGATCCAACATTGTTAACATGACTATTCTTTCCAAATTAATCTGTGTTCAACTCAATCATAAAAAAAACTCATTATGTGTTATGTAAATATTCAAGCTGATTGTAAAATTTAAATGAAAATGCCAAGGTTTAATAACAGTCAAATCAATTCTGAAAAAGAACAAAAATAAATAACCCAATTTTAGTAGACAACTGAATAGGCACTTTATAAATGAAGATACATAAATGAACAATATGGACATAAAAAATAATTTAACATCACAAGTGGTCAGGTAAAGGCAAACTGAAACCCCAAGAAAATACCACTAGACAACTATGTGAATGGCTAAAATCAAAAGAACTGTTTACACCAAGTATTGGCAAAATTATGGACTAATTGCTTACGTATTTCTGTTGGGGATGTAAAATGCTATGAGCCGTTTGAAAACTATCTTTAAAGCTAAACATATTCTTATCAAATGATGCTGTGTTCTACTTCTAGGTTATTTTTCAAGAGAAATGAAAACATTGCAAAAACTTGTATATGAATGTTCAGAAGGTTTTTAATAGTAGCCCCAACTGGAAATCCCTGAATGCCTGCCAACACATGAAGAGATTTTAAAAATTATAGAATATCCATACAATGGGATATTATTGAGCAATAAAATTAGGTACTGATATACCCAACAACATGAATGAAACTCAGAAATATTATGCTGAGTAAAGCAATCTAAATCCCCCAAAATTATGTTCTGTATTACTCCTTTCATATGAAACTCAGAGAAAACACCTAATCCACAGTGGTATAAAATAGATCAGATATCAATAATTTTTATACCCAACCCTTTTAACTGAAAAATATTTACTTCATACAGAAAGTATCACTAGCACAAATTAAAAGCTAGTTCACCTTTTTTTTTTTGGTACCGGGAATCGAACTCGGGACCTTGTGCTTGCAAGGCAGGCAGTGGAACCACTGAGCTAAATCCCCAGCCCTAGTTCACTTTTTATAAATAGAAGATAACTATGCAGAAAAACAATGTTATTGCATTCCAGTTAAGTATGTTATGTTTTCTCTTTAAGAGAGAAGAATGAAATGTTATAGACACACTAGCAGCAAATAAGATACAAAATCAGAAAAATTAAGAGAAGTCAATATGTAATAATTCAATGCGATTTACTATCATGTTTTTTTACATTTATCAACATGAATTAATTATACATGCTAACGGGGTCCAGCATGACTGTTCAATATACATACACATCATGCATTGATCCAATCCAGTATCATGCTTGCAACCCTAATTCATCTTAAAAACCACTAATATTCTTCCATGTACTGCCACTGGTACTTGTGTCTCCCCTTAGGAAACACTATTATACAGCATTATCTTGTATATTGCAAACTCAAAAGTTATAGTTGGTCCATTTCTTCCCCTAAAGCCACTTGCATTCTTGTTTTTTAGGTCACCCTTATTCTCTGACTTATATTCTATAGACTTCCTTGATTTGGTGGTGATCTGAGATTTATTATGGACATTTTTCTTTGTGAACATTTTCTTCCTGAGTTTATCTGTGGACAAGAGACACCCTAAAATGAAAGCTCTTTATATTTCATACATGACCAAATATAAAAGATTAAGGGGATGAGGACAGAAATCTCATTAGCTGTGGCAATGGCCTCTTTAATGTGTCTTCTCAATAATGAACTGTTCATCAGACCATGGTTCTGTCAGTATGAGTAAAAAACAGTACTCAGACTACAAAGAAATGTCTTAAGGGACAGGAAGCTTCATATGCAGTGGTGAAAATCACAGGTACTTAGTGTAGCTAGAAAGTAGGGCCCTCCCAGTCCAACTCTGAACTTTGCTTAAATACATAGAAGACAGTGTTCTACTCTCAAATAAAGTAGGCACCAGTGTTTCTTCCTTAAAAATCAAATTTAGGTCTGGGGATTTAGCTCAGTGCTTCTGCCGCTTGCCTCGCAAGCACAAGGACCTGAGTTCAATCCCTGGTACCAAAAAAAAAAAAAAAAAAATCAAATTTAATGAAGTATAATTTCAATGTAATAAAATATACATGTCTTAAATGTATAGCTGATGAATTTTGATATATACATATGACCATGTAACCACCACTGGATTTCCATTACCTCAACTCATTCTCAACTCATCCCCACTTCCACCAAGCCTGGACTTTCTATCACTGTAGATTAGATTTTTGCTCATTTTCTCCCCCTTTTCCTCCTTGGTATTCATCTCAATTCTTTCCCTTTAAAAGAATCCATAAAAAATTTACAGTTAACTTTAGGTTCATTAATCACTTCAAATAATACAAGTCATGCGGACAACTTTCTTCCTATTGTTATGCTACTGTCAATGTTTTGACAATGATATGCAATATTTTTTAAAAATCAACCTCAGTAGACTCTAGAGAATTTTGCCAGTCAAAAGCAAAAGTACTATAAAACAGATTTTCTTAAGAAACATGAGACAGTTTGATTTCTATCATGTTTAGAGTTTTTCAAGAGTAAAATTAAATTTGGAATGAACAAAGATAAACCCCTTACCTGTTGGCAGGTGCAGTGTTATGTTGTTGCAAAAATCTGTGAAGCAGCATTCAGTTTTGGTAACATTGTTGGAACTATGGCAGAAGACTTGAGCACGTAATTCTGGGACAGATACACAGGATTTGATCACCTGTTCCTTTCCATTGGTTAGCATGACCGAGGCCCAACATGCTCCTTCTGTTTGGCAGGTAAAATTTGAAGAGTCACACAAAAGACATACACACTTCAATCCTGGAAGAGTAAGACAAAAAGCTTTAAAATGCAAAAGATATAATGGAAAATTATTTTGCAGTACTTGAGAATAGAAACTCAACCTTAATGAAATTTGAGGAAGGATTTAAGTAAACAATACTTTACACACTATACTTTTACACTCTCAGTCTTGTGTTTTATTAAATAAGCTGCCTAATTACCTTTTGTCATCATTAACATTTTTGTGATTTTATTCAATTCCTACTGTTTTAATATATTTCCCTCATCTGTGTTCTAAACTCTTCTTTTTTTATTTCTAAACTCTTCTTAAACTCAGTTTATTCCTAAATCAATAGCTCCTATGAAAAGCCAGGAAACAGTATCACAGCAACCAAGAGGTGCTGTCCAGCATCATTTGTAAAACATTAAAGTGTGTTATGGCAGCTGTGTAACCAAACAATCTAGTGTGTCCTGTTCCCTTGTCTTTTTCCTTTAACTTGTTAAATAAATTTTCTAAACACAATACTAACCATTGAAATTTACAGCTCTAAAAATAATTGCGATTCTTCATATTCAGTGGTATTTAAGAATTATTGTTATTGTCACAGCAGCTTTATAAGGCATTGATGAACCATTATTCTTTCCCCTCTTCACTAAGGAATACATTTTAAAATGAGAATCATTTGAACATAGACCATGACCTTTGGGCAATCTTCTCTAAAGCACACATGTATTTCATAAAACAAGCATATCAAAAATATAGTTTAATATATTTCTGTAACACTAAGACCTTCAAAAATGACCCTGCTGAATTAATCTGTTTGCTACCACATGTCACCACAATATCCTCCATTTACTACACACACACACACACACACACACACTCACACTTCAAAGTGGTTCAGTAAAATATTTCTTGATGTAAAATATTTGTCAGCATAAAGAGTCATGTGGTTCTAACTTATTCAATTTTTATTTAAATATATTATTTCTAAATAGTAAAATATTAAGTAAGATTTTTGTATTATTATTTTAAAGAAGATTTGAAAACTCATAACTGCCCCCTTCAGAATCAGTAGACTGTCCAAAGATTTATCATAGAATCAGTGTTAATAAAATTAGACTTTAAATTGTTCAAATGAAAACTTATTGAATCCTCCTAAGATATGTGTTCTATCGGTGAAAACTTTTTTACTCAACTTTTACTCAAAAGTCCTCTTTCATGAGTGTCTTTTCAAGTTTGTGATAAAAAAAAAAATATGATGAATGTTACTGAGTACCATCCAAATGAAAAGCCAAGCTTTTAAAAACATTATGGTGTGTTCTCATCCACCTTATTTACTAGATCTGGCACCATGTATCTCCTGGCTCTTTCCCAAAGTCAAAATAGTCATGAAAGGTAAATGTTTTTAATTTATTCAGGACACTCAGGCAACCCTTTTAGCACAACTAAAGTCACTAAGATGACTTCCAGAACTGCTTCAGAAAGTGGCAGGAATGATGGGTTAAGTGTGTTGGAAGTGAATGCAAGTATTTTGAAGGGAATTAATGGCAACCTGTCTTCTCCTGTAATCTTTTTTAAATATTCACCATATTTTGTAATCACACCCTGTATAACTCATATAAAATCTAATAATTTAGTTAAGGCACTTCCTTGCAGAGTTCATAAAAGGAATATTCATTAACCCAGGTATCCTCTTGCAGTGGAATCTCTAGTATTTTTTATTCGGATTTGACAAAGACTTTCAAATCCTGGTTATACTACCTTTGTAATCTTAGACAGTACCTGGTCCCTCTGGGATTCCATATTTTTATATGAAAGGTAATAAAATGTATTGTTGAAGAGAGTAAATTAGTCAATCTATGTGAAGCTCTTAGACGACTTCTGTCACACAGAAATTACTCTATAAACAATAATAACTATCCTACTACTGAAGAGGGTAAAGCTAATTGCCTTATATAAGTAATTGAAATGTGTTTGTAATCCATATATGAATAGCTGAATGAATTGGAGTGCAGAAACCATTTAAGTGGCATAAGAAAGAAATGCATCTCTTTGTGCTCTGCCAAGGACCAAGGACAAGTTGAATACTCTCATTCTTTTGATGGTACATACTAGATCTAAGACAGTCGCACAGCAGGTGGTGTCTGATGATAATGGAGACAAAGAATTCAGGAAAGGACAAAAGTCTCAGCCCTACTTTGTCATTCATTTGCTGTTGATTTTAGAGATAGCATGTAACTTTACAGAGCCTCAGGGTTTTCCCCTGAAAGTGGATAATGACACAGGATAGGGGCGGTGATTCCAGAAACCTTGAAGTCTCATATACCACCAACATTTTATGACTTTAAAATTACAACTTATGGAAATCTGCTAATACCAAATATGGAAAACAGTTGGCAAGGGAGAAACTTGCTCTTCTATGGTTACTCTCCACTCTCATTTTTAAGGGGCTGAAGGTGGGAAGTAAAGTAATCCTTCTGACACACAACCTTAAATTATTTGTCCCTAGACTCATCAGTCTCCTTGAATTTTCCATTTTGAAGAGAAGCTTAGCCAGGAAATCAAGGCAACTAACTAAGGAATATGGATCCACTGAGTGAAGATAACCATAAAGTAGGCAACTATTAAACAAATGTTAGTTTCATGTGCTTTTGTTGTGGCATATAATTCCCAGTGCAGCTGTGGGAGTTATTTCCCATGATCTCCATTTTACAGATATGAAATGAGCCTCAAGAAGATCAAGTGATTAACTTAATGTAACAGCCTCTAGACTATGCACACAATGTTGTGTCTGTCCCACTAATGCTGCAATTTAAAAAAACAAACTCTCCTACTCCACCAGTTTCTACCAACTGTGAATAAAATATAATTCTAGTGAAACAGAAATGAATAATTGACAAGAGTATGATGTATTATTTAAATATTTTAAAAACTCAATCATATTTTTAAACATATTCTATTTTTCAGCAAGGTGGTCAGATAAAAGTCGGTACCATGTGTCTTGCCTCTAGCATAAACAATCCCACCTTTCAGCTTATCTGAATTCTGCACTAAGTAAGCCTCTAAGTACCTATCCCAGTACTTTCTTTTCCTAGCTCTACTGGCTCCTTAGAAAATGATTACATAATAGTTCTGATCAACAAATAATGTGGATACTCATTAAACGTTTAATAGGTTATAAAAATTCCCTTCAGTTTAAAGTGAAAAACACCAACAAGAATAATATAGACCTAGGTGAAAAAGACATAGAAAATGACACCATACTTTAAAACTTACACAATGGAAAGCACTGACAAAATTGAGGATTTGTTAATGATAATGGCTTCAAACATCTGCTAAATGTTTCCATTTATTCTAGGTCAATTGGCAGTACTGATGCACTGACAGAGAACAAACAGCAGCACTAAATGGGACCTACAATGTATAAGTAATACATGGCATATTCAGTCTCTCGTTTTTCATTTCTGTCTAGTCCACTATATGATCACATTTGTATACGACTAAATTATATTTATACCAGCCATCCTCAACGCAAAGTCTTTGTGCTGCCAATTAAAATATAGGTTGCCATTAGTGATTAGACTTGGGCTTTCAAAGTTTGTTTTGTAAAAACCTGATGTTGGTCAATTACGCTAGAATATTCTATGACAGGCTAAATCTGGTTGTTAGCAGACAGTAGTTCTGTCTTATGATTCTTTATCTTATAGTTCCTCATTACAATGTACTCGACTCATATGGAAAGGGATAGCAAATGAGGTTGAAGAAAGAGGCAATTACCCATAATAAGGAAGTGTATTAGATTTTTCCCCACAAGGAAGATTGCACTTTTCTTGTGTCTCCTCCACCCCTTTAATTATCTCCCTTTCTCTCCCTCTTTGCCAATTAGTCTGTAAAAGCCAAGACATCTGTTACTCACAAGACATCTGTTACCCACATCTACCAAAGGATGTGCACATTTCTAATCAACCAGAAAATAAATTTTCTTCCATATTTAAATATGATGGGTAGCACATCCCTCACACTTCTGGTGTACAGAAGTGTAAAAACCATCAGCGTACAAAAAAAGAACCAAATTTATTGATTTGTATTTATGTACTATTTTGGTTTAAAAGCCAAATACTTGTTTGGCAGGTAGTAGTAGTTTTGAGCTAAATACTATTTTCAATAAGTTGGTTTCACATTACCTGTTTCCTATATTATTATGAGCCTATTTGCTAATCTACTGACCAAGGTTAACACAAGTATCTAATAATTGCCCTTTCTTCTTTCCCAAACATTTATCTGTTCTATTCAGTTTTTCTAATTTTAGACTAGGCTATCTAAAACACAAAATAGGTTTTTTTAATTGAAAAAGTGTCTACCTGCTAAAAATATCTTTTCATTACTTGTAGACTTTACCAACTGGAACAACTTAAGCTCATCAGTGTGCTGATGTGAAGAAGCTGGCATCAGCGAGTCTGAAGGACAGACAGTCAAAGACATCAAAGGCCCGCCTTCCCTTTCTAAGGTAATTTCTAGGGTTGGAAACGTGAGCACCCACAGGATAGGTTTGTACCTTCAAATTCACATACTAATGATTTCACTTGGTAAGTGAATCACACTGGTTTACAATTCAGCAGATGTCCTCCAGTCAGTATTAAATCTTATTTGTCTTGTCCTGTATTTATCATATAAGAATGTAACAGTCTTTCCACTATCGTGAAATTTTGGAGAAATGGAGAGAAAGTAACGGAGTACTGAGTCTGTGGTTTATGTTAGACCACTGCCTAATCCTTTAATCACAGTGTATACCCCATCACAGAAACAGTACACAGGACTAAAAGCCATGCAAAACAACACCACTCTTTAGATGTCTGATTACTCTGCACTCTATTAGTAGAAATAAAAACATCTCCCAATGACATCTGAAAGGATGGAAAAAATAGTTTAAAACCAGCTAGAATGAGGTGGTTTATTTATTTATTTATAGTCTGTACATTGTGACAAAGTACAGAAAGGGTAGGTATGAAGACATACTGTCGTGAAGCTTTTAGTG